AGGCTGTTGGTTGAACTTGAGCCGGATTGAGTGACTGCTTATTTCTGTCCGTTGTGTTGCCTACTCCGATATGATGTGGAAGATGCTCTTTACGGGCCTAGCCGCGAATGACCACTTCACTTGGAAGATTGCTCATATTGATTATCAGAGTATGGCCCCAACCGTGAGTGTATGCTCGTCCGTGGGCCTAGACGAGAGTGTATGTTCCTCCACGCAATAAGACAGAATTATACGCTATCTCGGAGGCCCAATCGGGAGTGTACTCTGCCCAAACGCTCGGTTCTTGGCTGGTCAAGTGGTTGCTTATTGGGACGCTGCTGGAGAAGTTCTTCGTCTGCTCTTATCCTTCTTCGAGACACCTCGTTTGGAACACGTTGGATCTTGGTGCGCTACAAGAGCTGGTTCACCAAGGTTGTCTGCTGTGCTAGGGTACTCGTCAACTCTATGACTTGTTGAGATAAGTGTTGTTTGCCATTTGAATTGGAAGAGCTTGGAAGAAATGTTTCTCCTTGAGCAATGGAAGTGTGGTAGACTCCGAACGCGAGATTTGAGCTGGGAAATGTCAAATCTGTAGAAAAATATGGTGAAAATGCTGCCGGTTTAATCATCGATTTCGAAATTTGGAGCCGGGACGGTTGAATTAGTCTTGGACCGATTTGGGCTGCTTGGAAAGCCACAGGAGCAGACTGGGTTGCGAGAGCAGGTTGGGCCACGGGAGCAGGCTGTACCATGGGAGCAGGCTGGGCCACGAGAGTAGACTGCTTAGCAGGAATAGGTTGGGCCACGGCAGTGGGCTGCTCGACGTGTGGCACACGTGGGTGCGAAGCTAGGGCTCGACTTGGCAATGCATTGGGCTTGAAGTGACATGGCTTGGGTTATGGCCTTGGTGCCATGAGCCTTGGATTGCACGGCTTGGGCCGTGGTAGTGGTGCCATGGACCTTGCCGCGGGTGGCCACCGCGGTGGCTCCCATGGTGGAACCTTGTGGTGGTGGTGCCGCTCCCCCTAGGGTCACATTTAGTCTCGTGGATCGCCGCGGTCCCATTTCTTGAATATTGAAATTTTCACTTGTGGAGTTTTCTAAATTTCTAGCCATTGTATTTCTCTTTTTCGTTTTATCAAAGAATCTTTGCAAATAAAAAATTCTAATAATAAGAACGTACGAAAAATACAAGTGGACTAGAAAATAGAGAAAAAACCTTTTTATGTGAGAGTCTTCTACGAGTGTGAATTTCAACTCTCAATGAAAGCACCAATTTGTGGATGCAAATTTCTTCCTCATTGTTCTTGGACAAAATTGCACCTACAAAACAAATAACACCTTAGGTTAAGGTCAAGAGCCTCACACGCCCACGATGAATGGGGGGCTTTGGTCGAAGAACCTCCGATGTCAAAGTTAGAATTTAGAGAGAAAAGTGTTCGGAGAGTTTTTGAGAGTTTTGCAAGAATGTGGAACTACTTTTTTAGAGAAAATAGGGTCATATGCATAGGGAATGGTTAGAGGTTTTTTGTGTGAAAATGGTGATTTAATTGGTGATTAATGGATTAATTAGGAATTAATCCATTAATTAGCCAATTAATCTCCATTTATATGGAATAATTTGTAGGTTATGAAGTAATTACCTACGATGAGGATGGATGAGATAATTTGGAATTTGTTACCTATTTTGGACACTTTGGCTGATTATCCACTGCTCGCGCGTAGGACAACCGGTGTGTCTGAGGGGTGACTTTGTCATTTTCTTCCAAAAATCCATATGCCGCCTTGTGATTATTTTTGACTCCACACTAACCATTGTCAAAGACAAGTCCAGAGCGCAGCAAATTCCTTGGGCCCTATATCGAAAAATTTAGGGCAAATTAATAAAGTAAGAAGAGTTAGATTAATGCTTTGATATAAAAGGGAAAGAAAACAATCTACAAGCTGAAAGGGGCAAACCATTTTTATCAGGTCAAATAAAATAGGATGCTGACCCAATGACTAAAGATTTCACAATTGAAATTTGAAATGGACACTAAAGTTTGGTAAGAAGTTAAGAACTCATATCTTGATTAAGCTTAGCACCCCAGAAAAGAAACCATAAATTCAATTGAGAGAAAATCCGTATTTATAAAATGCCATCTGAAATTAAAAAAATAAAAAAATAAAAAATAGGGTTGTTTAGATAGGCCCTTGTAACTGATATTGTCTAGACAAAAACCCACCTCATATTAAACATCCAAATAAAACCCAAAATTCAAATAGTCTGCATGTTGGCAAATAAATGACATATCCTTATAAAATATTTACAACTTATGCCACAATGACCTAAATATGTCAATAAATATTATTATTACTTACCTTCAATTATGCTAGCAATGAGCAATTGAGCTCTTGTTTTAAAACCACGTATTACAAACTATTTACCTATATTTTAAAAATTCACTAATTTACCTACATTCTTATGATGCAAACTAATTGACCTACATTCTTTTGATACAAACTATTTACCTATATTTTTAAAAAAAATTCACTAATTTACATACATTTTTTTGTTACAAGCTAATTTATCTACATTTTTGTAGTACATACTAATTTACCAATCAATTTATTAAGGGAATTGTTATTGGCACTCCAAAAATCTCATTCTACACTCCAAACTTTCTATATTTGCAAAGAAAAATACACTTGTGAGAAGTCTAGAATGAGAATGTTGGAATGCCAATAACACTTCCCCTTATTAATTTACCTATATAAATAATGTCACATCCCATGCTCGACTCTACCGTAGCATGATATTGTCCGCTTTGGGCCCCTACCACACCCTCACGGTTTTGTTTCTGGGAACTCACACGAGAACTTCCCAGTGGGTCACCCCTCCTAGGAATGCTCTCGCCCAAACTCGCTTAACTTCGGAGTTCTTACGGAATCCAAAGCCTGTGAGTTCCCAGAAAGTCTTGTGCTAGGTGGAAATGAGAATATACATATAAGGCTTATAGGATCCACTTCCCTGGACGATGTGAGATGTCACAAATAATACCGTCTTATTATTACTTATAATATCCAAAGTAATCATATACATTTTTTCTTTACAACATCACACCTATGGGTAGGTAAATTATTTTTACAGGATTTCTATTCTAAGTGGGTACTAACATATAGATAGGTAAATTATTTTCTATGGAAAGAAAAAAATACAACCATTATTTTGTATAATTTTTTTGACAGAAATTATTTGTCCATGTCTCAACGTAAAACACCATAATATATTTTTATATATATTATATATTGCATGCTAATCAGGTAAGCTAGTTTCACGATAAAACAATTTTTGGTAAAAAATATCCTAATCAAATAATAGGTTAATTGACATTTAATTGCATTGAAAATAATAAAATGTAAAATTTATGATTAATTATAAGTCAAACCTAACCCACGTTACACTCTATGAGAGTATTTTAGGAACACGAGAATTATAAAAACTGACATACCAAGCTTGGTAAGGAAATTTGCTTAGTTGGACTCTACTAAATGGGGTTTATGTCTGAAAAAAATAAGGAGAATGGGTTTTAAGTGAGAGAAAATAAGTTTTAAGGGGGAAACTCTCATTTTCAATAAAAAATAAAATATAAAAAATAAAAAACCCTTTTCAAATTTAATAAATAAACATCAAAATTTCCTAATTTTTGCACTAATTTCTAATCAAATCAATCAAATTCTGAAGAACAGAGAAGCTATTGATTGGAAGACAAAAACTCACCAACTCTGACAAAAACCACCAACGAAGCAACCAATTTCTTTCTTGGGGCTCTCTCTCTCTCTCTCTCTCTCAAGGCCAGGTTTTTGTCACACTACAAATAAGGACTTGGTTTACTTGCATGTTAAGGAATTTATCTTTAGTGGCCAAAACATAAATCACAAGTTTCCCTTGTCCTCCCATAAACAAACTTCTTTGATTCGTTCTAATTACATGTTATGACACACCCATACAAAAAGTTAATAGACTCGAGAAAAGCTTGCGAGAGGGCCATGACCATATAGATATTGACTATCTTAGTGAAAATAGTAAAAAACCATTTATAACACTGACAGTTTGATAGTAAGCTAAGCCTGTTCAATTAAGTTGAAGAAACTTAAATGTGATGAAATTAAAAGTACTTAAATAAGGGTTGTTTTATTCACACCCGATGTTTTGTTGACTACATCCTACATATACTTTTTAAATCAAAATTTATCTTAATACATCCCACATGTTTTCCAATGCTACTCTCACACCCCACATGCTATATATACGCTCCACACACTCTACTTAAACCCCACATCAATACAAAGAACAAACAGAAGACGATGAACAAGCAAAGGAACATAAGTCAAGTATGAAACAAAAAATTTCCCCTATTCTCTATTTAATTTATAACATTTTCATCCGGTTGGGTTAAATAGCCCATACCTTTTGCGGATCTATTCTTTGACAATTGGATTGCCTATAAGATTGTACTATTCCTTCTCTGTCCGAATATATATATATATATATATATATATATATGTATGTATATATATGAATTCACATGCACAACTATTTGGCGTTCTATCATGGTCAAAGCCAAATTTGTGAACACATTCCATTTTATTATATCAGTTTGTTCTTCTAGGTTGCACCTGCAAAGTAAAAAAATGTATTGCTGGCTTTAAACTGACCAGTTTCCCTTTTCTTTCTCCAATTCCAAAATTTCTCTTATTAGATAATCATGCAAATTAAAGATCTACAGAACGAGGATGAAAAATAATATGTTTGCGTTTTGTGCGTTTAGTAGTTAGGGTCTTGTTCGACAATGAAGGATGTGAGTGACTTTGAGAGCTTGAAGAAAAGCAATCTTAGAATACAAGTCTAAATTAACTTGGGGTGTATTTAGAAATTATTTCTTTTTTTAAATTTTATTAGGCCTAAATAGTCATTTTATATTATAAGTGGGGTGTTACTAAAAAAACCCTTAAATAATCACAGTTCACTCAAAAGCCCACTAGTTCTCCCTATGAATCTTTTCTTCTTCCTCTAGAGCGAAATCGTTCTTGATGTTGAACATCTTGTGAATCTCTTCAGGTGTCTTCCCCTTGATCATGTCCGCCATAGTCTGACACGTCATGTCAAGCCGGCCCTTGATGTCGAGATAGTTTGCTGCCATTATTAGGTCATAGAGAATGTTATGGTTGATCTTCATGAACTCGGCATCCCACTCCTTGAAATTATTCTCGCCATCAGCAGCAATAGCCTTGTCCTCTTCACGATGCTTCCTGCAGTACTCAATGACCTTCGCAAAGATGACGCTCGTTACGTTTGGCAAAGGAATGGTATTGCCAGTGCATCCATCCTCCCCTATGTGCTTGATGGTCTGCGACTCCATGGCCACTGCCTCTTCCTCCTCGAACATCTTGTCGCTAGAGATTTTTAGGGTTATCTTCTTCTTCAAGTCCACTGGTGTGGCTCGGCTTGGGCTGAGCAGATTGGAGCACAAGGGGCGCTGGGCTGGGCCTGGCACGGGCTAGGGATGTAAGCAGCGAGCTGGGCTTCCTAGCCTCGGGCCCGTGTGCAGAGAGAGAGTGTGAGAGGTGCAAGGGCGCCTACCTCCCTTCCAGCTAAGTTGGGCCGAGGCAGAAGGGACTAGGCCGTAGGGCCTGGCGTGTCTGCTGGTTTCTACGGTCTTGGGTCTATGGTGTGCCACCGTTGTATCGCCAATGCCGGTCTTTGGGTAAAATGGGCTACTTCAAGGTTGCTCACTTCAAAATTAGCTCTGATGATTCGTTCAGAGATTTTCTTGAAGCATATAGGCACACTATTCCGTCTGGGGTGCGTGTGAAGCGTGTCAAGAAGGGTAACAGTCGTGAACCATGTAGTAGGGCTCGAAAAGCCATCAAGTTTCACCCTTACTACTTCGTGTTGGGATTTACTTTTCCCATGACGCATTACTTCCAAGATGTGCTTTGCTCTATGAAGTGTGCCCCCGCTCAATGTTCTCCTAATGCGGTCTATGTAATGGTGGGATTCCTCAATCTAAGCCAATTCTTTGACTTGGATCTGACCATTAACGAATTTTGGTAGTTCTTTGACAAAGGCTACATTGATAGAGTTAGACAGCTGTGATCCCGCCATAGGCTCTTCAATCATTCGAGCAAGGGAGATCATGATTGGGCCAAGGAAACTTTGGAGATAAGTGGAGAGTGGGAGTTTGATTCTTCCCCTGAGCTGCATGTTTTGACGATTTTCATCACCAGTAAGTAGGTTACTTAGTTTCTAGGCTGCTTTGTGCTTTTGCTGAGTTGCACTCTCATTTGTTGATTATGCTTATCTATTTATATAGATTCGAAATTCGGCTCAACTCCCAAGACTTCCCTAGATACGAAGAAGGTGCATGTTGCTTTGGGTATCCCTGCTGAGTACCATGAATGGCGTTGGCTGCTTAGTCTTCTTCGTCGGGAAAAATATGGGCTGCCCCTGAGAGAGGAGATAAAACGAATAAAGTCAGAGGCATTAGCTCGTCCAATCGATGTGGTGAAGCCCGCTATGAATGAAGATGGAAAAAAGAGATTTTCCCCGCCTACTCAATAGATACTGATTGAGAAAAAATCGAAGACTTCCTCCACTGCTCGTGAGGGTCCGCCTGCTGCTAATAGGCTTGTGATTGACTTAACTTCTTCAAAGAGGAATAAATGAGGCTGTTAGATCTGAGCCGGTAACGCCTGACATGCTGAAGGTAGCTAGTATGATTACTGATATGATTGTTTAGCGTAGAGGTTCCGTTGTGCCTTTAATGCCGAAATTTGTGCCAAGATGTTCACTAGGAGCTAAGTCTGGTTCACCTTCGGAGAGGCTTGTTATTATGAAGAGCGATAAGGTAGACTTTGCTGCTAAAGTGGTGCCAAGGCCTATTCCTCTTGTTGCTAAGATTGGTTCGTTGGCTGAGATAGATGAGATTGCTTGCATGGGCAGTTATGAGAAATCTACCAAGCTTGTTTTTGGAGAGGCAACTAAGATATGTGCAATTTTGAAGCCAAATTTGCTTGAAGACATGGACGCATATGCCAAGCTTGTTAATGGCGTTTAAGGGCATACAACCCAATATAGAAAGGCTACTTTGCTTGCTATGATGCAGAAAACGGCGATTATAGTAGCTGAGTCTATGCTCCTTGACCAAGAAGATACCAAGGCTGCCAAGGAGATGGCGAAGACTATAGCAGATGAAACTTATTCTTTTACCAAGAAGGTCAAGAGGTTGGAGTTTGAGCTCGTCGTTTTGAAGGGGTCCAATATTTTTGCCCTCACTTTTCTGCAACTTAAGACCGTTCGCCAGGAGATTGTTGACTTGAAGACTAGGCTTAACTTGATCCAAGTTAAGTATGAAAGTGCAGAGAATGAGATTGGCTGTTACATGCCTCAAATCCAAGATCTTGAGAGTGCCAATTTTGAGCTTCTTTCTGCTGCTTATGCAAAGGATGAAGAGCTAATTGCTACTTATAATCAAGTGATCCACTTCAAGAAGGTCGTCGATAGGCTTGAACCCCAAGTGTTGAACTCCAAGGTGCACTGAAGATTAACGAAAATCTGAAGAACGAAGTAGATGAGCTGCAATGCCACCATGTTGGTCTGCTCAAGGAGAATGAGCAGTTGAAGGGTGAGAATGCTAGGATCGGGGCTTCACTTGTTCAGAGTCAGGCTGATTTCTACAAGCTGGGTTATGTAGATCATCTATTTAGTAGGCCATCTGACTTTGAGTTTGCTGGGAAAGATTTCGAGACCTTCTCTATTTCTCCGGAAGACTTGCTTACCTTTACTTTTGAGGTTTCCATTGGTGAAGTAAGCATAGAAGTTGGTGCCCAAGTTGGGGCAGCCGAGGGTGAGCCTTGGATGATGCTACTGCCAAAAGCATCACGACTGCTAAAAGTGTGGCAACCGAGTAATCGTGGGATGTCCAAGTTGTTGCAGAGTAGTCTTCTAGATAGCCTTTAGGATTTTCTTTGTTTTCCTTGTTGCTTTTTGCTTTGCTTGAACTCTTTCAGCCTTTGCTATTTGTTTATCAACTTTGCTAGAAAATTTAAGAAACTTACTTCCTTCGCTTTTCTTCATCTTCGTTTCTTTTGTTTACACTTGACCTTTAGACCAGCAGCAGACATGCTGCTTTTTTATAAGCAAGTAAGCCCACGTAGCCTATGCAGCTGTAGGTGTTAGTGTAGAACTTTTGCAAAGTTGTTAGCCATATGATCGGTAGCCAGACGCCTTACTTATAGAAGCAGACAACTCCGCGTAACCACTTGACTATTAACCTTAGCTTTCTTCAATCCTTTGAGTTATGTGGCCTGCATCACAACATACTAAAGATTTTTGTGTCATGAAATTCGCTAACCTTTCGTATCAAAAGTACGCAGTTGTATGGAATTTCGTAAGCAAATGTCCGAGATAACTTTTTGTTTTTTATGTAACCAATTCCGTGGGTTGCGTAGAAAGTATCACAACACTTTAGAAATTCGTGTAGATCTAGATGATCATTCCGTGCTTGGCATAGTTGAAGCTTATCTAATGCATAACATGTCGGTAGTGGATAGAGCTTCGTATATACACATTAACTGCTTAACCTTTCACAAAAGATGCGTGGTTGTATAAGTTTGGCCCGTATTGCTCGAAGGGCAAGCTATAGGCAGTCTTTTAGAAACTATAGGATACTTTAGTGCACTTGATAACAACTTTAAGGTTCTAACGCAGTCGTCCATAGGGCGTACTGTGTAATGTGCCTCATCCGTCTCTGAGGCCTGGTTCCCCACAGATTAGGCTAGTTAGCTAAGCCTTAATAATGATCATTATGGCTACTTCTAGGAATCCCGATGTAAGTCATCATGCAACTAATTATACCAGGGTAGCTTGACTCATCCACGTCTGGATATTCGAAGTGTATAGTTTATCCTTCCGCATCGGAGAGCAAACCCATGTGGGTGTTAAGGAATTAGTTTATCTTCTTGCATGGGAAAGCATGGTTAATCTCAAGAGGGGTCCAATTCTTGCGATAATTCCCTAAGAAGGGCACGGTCTTCTTTTGAAGTACAAGAGTGATCAGTTGTTGTAAGCATGTAGCCGAGCCAAATTGTAAATTAGTTTTGAATTCCTCATTGAAAAACTTAGTTTAAGCTAGGAATTGCTTAACAACTAGATAATCCTCAGCTTGTGAGGTGGTGCCCGTCGAGCTGCTTGCGTCTTCAACTTTGATGTAGTGGGATGTGACGCATGGTACTTCCTCGGATTGTAGGTGTTCCATTATTTTTTGATCTCTTTGTCGTTTATGGTGGCGATCGTGTAACTACCCTTACCCCTACTCTGCTGATCTTGTATGGACCTTCCCAGATGGGATCCATCTTTTTGGAGCCTTATCTGCGAACAATGATAAAGGCTTTTCTTAGGACTAGATCTCTAGGCTCGAATTAATGGATCTTGGCCTTTTTGTTGTAGTTGGAGATGAGCTGATGCTGGTAGGCTACGATGTAGGTGATGACCTTCTCGCGTTTCTCCTCTGTCAGATCTAAGTTTGTGGCCATCTTCTTTCTGTTCTGCTCAATGCTTGGCAGTAAAGTGCTAATACTTGGCACGATGACATTAGGATGAATGATTGCTTTTGAACTAAATGCCAAAGAGAAAGGAATTTCACCAGTTGCTTGTCGTTTAGTTGTGCGATATGTCCATAGACATCCAGGAAGTTCGTCTGGCCATTTTCACTTCTTATCGGAGAAGATTTCTTGAGGTGGTTGAGAATCATCTTGTTAGATGCTTCGGCCTACCCAATGCCTTGGGGATGCCTCGGCGTGGACATGTGTTGGTTGATGTCATATTTCTGGAAGAACTTCACCAAATCTTTGCCTACGAATTGCGGGTTGTTATCTGTGATGATGGATTGAGGGATGCCAAATTGACAAATAATGTTTCTCCATATGAAGTGCTTTATGTTTGTCTGAGTTGTGGTTGTCGTGGTTCTGCTTTCACCCATTTGATGAAGTAGTCAGTTGCCACGATCATCATGCCTCTGCCCTCAGTAGTGAGCGACATTGGGCTTACCAAGTTAATTGCCTACTTCAGGAACGGCCAAGGACTTGTTTGCGGGTGTAATTTGCTGGCAGGTAATGCTAGTACCAGCTTATAGCTTTGGCAGCGGTCACATTTTTGCACTAACTCCTTAGCATCTTGATGCATAGTAGGTCAGTAGTAGCCTGCGTTAAGAGTCTTCTGTGATAAGGATCAGACTCCAAAGTGATTTCCACAAACACCTTCGTGGATTGAACTTAGAACATTTAGGTCGTCGGGAGGCATTAGGTAGCGAAGATGTGGTCCAGTGTAGAATGTTCGAATAAGAATGCCATTGCACATGTAGTAGCGTGCTGCCTTTGTTTTGAGCTT